AAATGTTGAATGCATTTTCCTTTTCAACAACAATCAAATTGAGTGTGACTACAGAGGGCAGTGTAGTAATAAAAGGTTAATAGTGAGGACTTGGAAAGATGATGTGTGGCACAGGATTATTTCAGGCCTGTTGTACAGCATGAATACTGTAATCGACTATGACCATTTAGAATACTTTTAAAAATCTATAAAATTACAATAGATTTTGTGAAATTAATACAAAGATTACTAAAATGAATTAATAACATTTTTTAAATATGGTACTTTAAAAGGCATACCAAGCTATAAAAATTGATGTTGCAGATAAAATTTAGAAGGGTCTCTTATCTACATGTGCAGAAACAAAAAATAACTAAAAATGTATAAAAATGTTGAATGCATTTTCCTTTTCAACAACAATCAAATTGAGTGTGACTACAGAGGGCAGTGTAGTAATAAAAGGTTAATAATGCTTTGAAATTTATAGTAGGCCTACTGATATGAAATTATTCAGTTGTATGAAATAAATTACAGCCACTTATGGTTCTCAGCTATTGCAATCCTCTGATTCGTTTGTGCATCATTTGATTACTTCCTGTGGGAATTCTAAATTCACTACGTTGCATTTGAGGGGAATTCAAAAGGACATAACCAGGTCCGATTGGGTCACCGAGAGAGCTCATTCTGTACATCAAATTTGAATATCAATGTATACATTTCATAACATCCGGTACTTTACTGAAATTCCTTTCAACACAGGAGGTAAATCTACATGGAACATTTGTAGGTCATTACAATAACTTGAATAACCACTCAAAATCAGATTAATATTCTATATATATGAGGAAACATACATTTCATTCAGAAAGTGTAAAATAGAAGTTAAATCATAATGTGTGTACAGCATATAGTTACACAGTGAACTGGTTTGCCTATCCTTAAGGGCTGAGTTGGAGTATGCCCTCTCTAATCATCATGAAAATGCTGTTTATAGATTTTTTTCAAAGTTCCACTGGCTAAATAACACTGCCTTATATTTGACCTTTATGCATCTGAGAAGATTTTTTATAGTTAGAAGAAAGTCAACATTGAGTACTGACCAATTTCAGCTTCTGTAGTAAGTATTTTGTCTTCCTAAATTACAAGTACAGTAGGCTAATGTACTGTACTGTATATGTTTAGTTATCAGACAGCCACTTTTCTATAGCTTTGGACATTCTTTTGAATGTTTTCATCTGGTTTACATTATCAGGCAGTGATTGTTAAATTTGTTACAGATAAACCAAACAATGGTAAACATAGTACAGTAGAACCCCCTCCTTTGGGATACCCCTATTAAGGGAACACTTTTCTCAGCCATGAAGTGAAGGAAAGTACTGTATATCTACAGCAAATCCCTATTCAGAAGACACCCCTATTATAGGGGACATTTTTTTGGTACAGAGGGTGTCCCCTAGGGGGATCTCTTCAACAGGCACTGGTGCTAATGAGACTGAAGATATACTTCACCAAAACTAAACAAAAACTTTCCAAGCGTATACAATACAACATCATAATTCAGGAGACGTGCTTGTGAAGTGCACCTCCCACTCACAAAATGTTGAAAATCTAAGTACTTTTTCATGCATGCATTCTGAATCTGATATTTCAAGGTGTCAGTAAAACACTCAAAAAGCTGGCGCTGACATCGTTGATAAAGTAGGCTCACAAGCGCTGGCATCGTTGATAAAGTCGGCTCACAAAAAAAAAAAAAAAACAAAAAAAAAAAAACACAAAAACACTCATGGTACCAAAAGCTACTAATTAGCTGTTTTTCGTATTTTGATGTTCTTTTAAATTTGGGAGGTTGCATGAAAATTTGGAAGATACGTGATCGAATAGGTAATGTATCCTCCCCACACTGAATGTCATTGAAAACTTGCTTAGAATAGAAATAGCTAGAATTCAATCCCTTTCTTTCACCTTCTGATTCTCCCAGTTATCGTACCCACATCTCTCCAGTTGTAATGTTATGCGTGTTTTGTGTTTAAATTTGATCTAATTATTACCTCACTGACTGGACCCTAGAGTGCACCATACCAGTGAAAGACAGCATCTAGCCTAGCCTAGTGGCTAGGCCTAGGCCTAGGTAAACAAATTTTCCGGGGTCACGCCCTGTTGATAGGTATGTGAAGATGCGCACGCAAATTGCGTCTGTTTTTTCTGCCAGATTACTGTTCTGCATTTGCGTCATGCTCCCTGGGGACATCCCCATAAAATTACATTCTGATTGGCTGTCATTAGGGAAATCCCTTGGATACTGCTATGATAACGTAGTGGAAAAGCCACTCTTCATCCGCCATTTTTTTTTTCCAGATCGGACAAAGATCCTCTTCGCTAGAAAGTTTTAAGATTTCGCATGTTTTGATGGAACAAATATCACTCTAAAGTCAAATCCTAAGTTATTGAAAGGTAAGTCTACATATTGTTTATTATTTTGTCCCGAAGTTTCATCGTATTTTATGGTTCAGAAAAAAAATTGACTGACCCGGTCAAGGTCGTGTCCAGAGGCTATTGGCGTAAATGCGAGCCGAAAACCATGAAATCTGATATATGTTCATGCATGATTTTAGGGCTCAATTACTACAAGGAAAAAACACTATATAATGAAAAATAAACAGTTTTAGACGTGGGAATTATGCATATCTCTGCACAAAATTATTTTTTCTGGCTGATGTTTGGCGATTTTAACGGCAGTTCTCTTCTGCTACGGTAGGCGATTTTGGTCATGTGACATCCAAGCTGCTTCGTGATTATTATTATTCAAAAAAGTCGCGTTTTCGGTCACAAAATTCTAATCAATTACATGTAATAAAAATGATGTTAATTCATGATTTCAAATGCTTGTAATTTCCTTATTGATTAAGTTAAGATATCTAAATAATTTTGGTGTCACTGTGTAGGACTTTTCAAGCTCTTTCCAGTGTTACTAATTGAATTGGTATTGGTTCACTTTGAATTTTTTCTTCACATACCTACTAATGATTGGAGTACTTCCGTGGCAAATTCTCAAGCCAGCAGTTCTCTCAAACTTGGTATGATGCGTTACCACTACTACTACTCAGTCTATTTAGAAGTAGACTACCAACCCCTCTGCGTTACCACTACTACTAGACTAGTCTATTTAGTAGTAGACTACCACCCCCTCTGCTAGGCCTACTACTAGGCCTACTACCACCACCATACTACCAACCACGGACGGCCGCTCCAGCAGGCCAACAATCAGATTCATATTTGGTCCTCCTCCTCCTTACTAGCCTGGCCTAGGCCTAGGATGAGAAACATAGGCCTAGAGGTCCAACTTACCTACACTTTTCATAGTTTCAGTACATACGGGAAAGTCTTCAAGGCTAGGCCTAAGCCTACTGTAGACGATTTTTTCCTAGAACTGGACGTCACGAATAAACAAAGATGGTTCAATCGTGACGCGACCACCCGACGAACAGAAATCAATCAAGGCGCTCGAATGATGACGTATTAAATAATAGTAAAGCACTCAAAGACAAAGTGAAAGTGCACGTAATGAAATTATAAATTATACTACAGATTAACTAAAAGTTTATACAGTATAAAAATATATTTACTCTACACCAAAGATCTTAATAATAATATTAATAATTATAAGATCTTTGTAGAAACGGCAAGGTTATCATAATTATTCATCAAATCAAAAACTTTTCACACTATAGGTGGCGCTAATCACCTAAAATGCGCTAGTTATTAGTTATTGCATGGTATTGCGTTACTTTATCCCGTTTATACCATTTATTCTGGTTTTAATTTGTTGTTGAAAGCGCATACAGACGAATAGTGCTATACAAGTGCAACGATAGACCATGGATGATGATGATAATGAAGAAGATAAGGATAAACGATGATAATGTGAATGATGATGATGATGATGATTATGAGTGATTGATGTTTACTAGGATGGTGAAGGTGAAGTTAAGGTGGTGTGAACGGTCCCGGTGGTGACGGTCAGCAGGCAGGGTGATGGTAATAACGGATTTGTTTCGCAGCCCTCTTTCCTTCTAAAAAGGGAACAGTTAAATTACCTTCTAAATAAGAATCCAAGCAATCGAGAAGTTACCGTACGGATGTGTGGTCAATGGGATAGAGTCTGATCATTAGCGGTCATCTTGAATTTGTGCCTCCCACGGTTTCTGTGTATCACATATTATTTAATTATTTAGTCACATAGGTTGAAATCTAGGAAAATAATATCTCCCTGCTGATACCGTAACGTACTTCCGATAGTTAGACGAAAATTTAAAATGACGGAATTTCATATCGAAACGCTCAGATACGAGGGGTACCGGTATCACATTGCGTTTTCATATAAATTTTATTTTTAATAATAATATAAGCCTACTTTTACAGTATCTATACTAATTTTTAAAATTCTATGCCTCTATGCCTGGCCAGCTGAGAGCTTTTCTCTATAATACCTCCATGGTAGCTAGCTCCATCCTCCTGAGAGAAAACATCCATTAATCGATCCCCAGCCAAGTTAAGATGTATTAGGCCTACTTCTTTTTTTTGTTTTTGTTTTTGTTTTTTTGTTTTGTATTTGTGTATTTTTAAGGGCGGGTCCAGAGATCTTCTGATGGGTGGGGGGTTGGGGGATGTGAAGTTCACGCCGCCACGCCCACCTCCGCTCCACCTGATTGGTACCGGTAGTGTTAGTGGTAGTAGTAAACAATCGAGCTCTCCTTTCTCCCACTGCTGGATCGCCACTGAACTCATGGGTGCACTCCCTTTTCCCCAATCATTTCTTTAACTCATATTTTACTTCCTCCTTTTCATTTTTTGGCTTGACTGACAGGGGGCCCTCATCCCCCCCCCCCCACCCCGCTGGATCCGCGCCTGATGCTGAATAAAGAATTTAATGAATGAATGCCTACCTACTAGCCTACCAACGATGAAACCATTAGCGCGCCCCCTATCGAAATATAATATTTTAGTAATGTCGTGATGGTTCAGTTAGGTATCGGTTCACATTCTAGCAAGTTCTTATCAGATCATCAGCAGGTCACACACATACAAAATAAATGGTGGTTTTAGTGGTTGATCATGAGATATTGTAGATATCTGTTTAGCGTCCGTTGCCCTTATGAAATACTTGATGATGTTCATATGATATAATACTTTAACTATACTTGATAATGGACCTTTTGAATTCTCCTGTCTCAGAAGTATGGAAGGCCACAAAAAGAGTGTTTACACTTACCGATGCTGTCGATGACCGAAAATCTAAGCCTACGGCAGCGGATAGTGAAAGAGGAGCGGACGGTCGAAGTGGAATACGCTCGCGATCAGTGACAGGTAACAACAAAACCAAAGGGCCTAAGGCTAAGAGTTCAGCACATTCAACTTCTAGCTTAAATAGACAAGGTAAGACACGTACTCTAACTGGCAAAGACCTGCAATCTGTGACTACTTCTGGAACATTTGCTTCAGGGAATTATAATATTAATGATTCTGATAACTTGGCTGATGATTATGATTTTGATAATGATTTTTTCACAAGTCAAAGAAGTTCAGTTTCAGCGAATAGGTACCATACACTAGATCCTAAAATGAATTCACTGATGAGGAGCAGGTACTCGAATGATGTAGATACTGAACGTTTTAGACAAATGGAGGCGAGTCAGAGGTCTCTGCCTGCTTCCGATACGTCTGCTCGAAGTAGAGCACCCAGGACGTCAAACTCACGTGTACGAACACGTAGCAAATCAAGTGATAGGGTGTATGGTCGTATCGATCAGGAGCCAATGTACTTGCGAAGACGATCGTTATCTATTGATGAGGAATTACAGGAAGAACAAGGAGAAAAGATGAAATCAAAATTATTGACGATGTGGAACAATGTAAAATATGGTAAGCACTTTTGAACAGTTTAAATTGGTAAATTTATTATAATTATACAGTACTGTACCGTCTGAAAATATAAAAACTTAAACTATTTTAGGCCCTTATCCATTTTATAAGAAGACAGTCAGGAATAGAAATTTTATGTGACTTATGCAGGTAAATGTTTATATTTTAACCAGTTATTGTGTACAGTAATAACTACTGTAATATGTATTAAAATTTCTTTTTCTTTGAATGTTAACCCAACAATTTGATTTCACTTGACAAAAAATAAATTGTGAATACATTTGTTTATACACAAACCAGATGAATATTTTTTCAACATATTGTTACAGTAGACTTGTTGCTGTACAGTAGTACTGTAAATGATAAATTGTGTGAAGGTTTGCATGGCAAAGTTATATTAATGCTTGCGTTACACCACGTAGGTAGCTCTGAAAAGAATTGTTGTTGGTTGAGAATATCTCAAAGTACAGTAGGTTATTACTTTCAGTTGATGGATGTAATGTGTGTAGTATTATGTCATCATTTTCCACTAATGAAATGGCAACATCAAGGCTTCCAGGGAGAAAACACCCAGGACCCCTACCAAGGCCCTTACGATTTCCTGTACATGGAACTGGACACTACATGTACATCAACAGGTTACATTTTCAAATAGTCAGAATTACTGTAATTAAAAATTGATAAGTATGCTTTAGAAGGAGTCTTACTAACTGTATTACTGTACACTGAAATTGATATCGTTCAGAACCCCATACCAAGAGTATCAGTCCAACTGGCTCTCTTCCACACATGGACTGAATTAGTCACCAAAGATCAGACATCATCAAAATTTGGCCGATTGGGTATTAAAAGTTGTTTACATCTTAAAGTCCTATGCTAATGCATTGAGCAGAGTCCAAAGTGGTGTCTGCTAAATCGTCAAAATGTAACAAAGTTAGCGTAGAAGATACTTTTCTATTGGTGATTGCTGTTGATTAGAGGTACATACATGTACAGTACTGTATTCAGCTTATATACTGTCACCAAGTCATTTTGTTGCAATTTTTGTATGAAATATTTAAACTATTCAACAAACCTAAATTGCTGAATTGTAGAATAAGATGTTTTTTTTGGTTGCGATGGCCAATGAGTCAGAAAAACGTTATATGTATGACTCTCTAGTCTAGGGCTAGGCCCATGTTCACGCGAGGAGGTATATGCAAAATGTACAAGTTTTCCATTTGTTTTTTCCACTTCATTTCAAATTTAGCGGGTCAATACTGTGACATTTATTAAAGAAATACTTACCAAGGATTTTTGATAAGTTATTTTACGATAAAATAAAATGTACTGCCACCTACAGTATCTGTTTGATTTGATGTTATACCCACTATAACGGCATTGTTTTGGTGTGACTCATCACTAATCATGTGGTCTATTGAAACTTGTACTGTACCGGGTACATAATCGTGTGACAAATCGTGAGTTTTAAATAATTATTGTATTTTTAACCAATTCAGTTGAAATAAAAACCACAGCTCTTTGTTGTGTGTGGCCTTTGTGCAAACATCAAGCAAGACACCACAACAATTATGGAAATTGTAAATTTCTAAACTGTTCCGAGGGAGGACACATACAGTGTAATGAATCAAAAATTTGATAAAAAGAACATTCCAAGAAAAATTGATGTGTAAGTGATAATCTAATCAATTTTTAATGGGCCTTACAGACTATTTACAATTGACTATTTATAATGGATTACTGTACCAGCCAGTATAATTAAAGGAATTAGTGTACTGTACAGTATAAAGAGATAGGACATTGATACAAATGCTTGTTATTGTCAATGAAAATTGCTTAAAAATAAATACACAATAATATTTTATAATGAACCTCTATAAATTATTTATACAAGGTATGAAATTAAATTTTATTTTTTTTATTTTCTATAATTTTTTCACAATCACAAGTATGTGTATGTTTTGTGGTTTAGTAAAAACTAAATTTCAATTTACAATACAGTATTTTGTACAGTACATGAAATTCAATTTTTTTTTTATTGAATGATTTTTGAAGTTTTTTAAGTTGGTATAGTCTGTTCTGATTATTATCTATTCAGTACTTGAATATTCAGCTTTTTGAAATTGTATACAAATTGGGGAAATAGCCCTTTATATTTTCTACTGAATAGGCATACTGTAGACCTACTGTATATGCTGAACTTGCTGTATTCAATTACAAAAATTCTAATAATACATTACTGTACAATGGCATAAGAATGCCATTCCTGCAAAATTCATAAATCTTCCAATTGAATAAGGGGACAAAATAAATTCTTTAAAAAAAGAAGTAATTTAGGCTGCAGGAAAAAATATGAAGACTGCTGAGATGTGGAACTAGGCTTCCTATCTCTTACTGTGCCTGCTGCAACAAGTATATGTTTGTTACAAATTTTACAGTATTACTTTTACTTTGTACATTCTAATAAGGATTGCTTTTAACTGAAAATCATATTGAAAAAAAAAATGTTCTTTCCTCCTATAATACTGGTAATAAATTAACATTCCTTAAATCTTTGCATATACTGTGCCCTTCAGCAAATTAAAGAATTGTTGTACAGTTTCAGTTTAAATGTCTGTAAATTATTGAAAACGGATTTCTTTTATCAGTGACTGATTGAGTATTGTTAATAAGTAATTCACAGTAAAATTTTAATTTTTGGGGTTTTTCTTTTTTTTGTGCCAGGGTGGCAAGTTAAAAATATCCTAAATTTTGAATATGAAACTTTGTTTTTAAAGTAATTTGATTAACCCAATATTATTGACCTGTAAATATTTTCAATTATTTTATCGTGCAAGAAATAACTCAAAAGGCATCGAAATGTTGAAAAAAATCACAGATTACGATAAAAGATATGTTACTTTAAAGAAAAAAAACTTATTATAGAAAAAGGGTTATTGTTTGTATTGGTAAATACTGTAATACATATTGAAAACATTTTTGTTGGTTTTACTCTCTATAACAAGTTAAGAATTTCGGAAATTGGAGCGTCTACGCCCACCGTAAAAACTCTAATTTGAGAGGTTTTGCATACTATACGCGAAAACTCTGAATTTCAAACTTTTAATCAACCCTCCGATTTTGCAGTTTTTTTGGCGTGCTATTATTATTCAAACCTCCAATTTTGTTTAATAATAAGTACGCAAAAATTCCAAAATCAGAGGGTTGATTAAAAGTTTGATATTTCCGATTTTGGAGTTTCCGCGTATAGTACGCAAACCCCCGAAATCAGAGGGTTGAGTAAAAGTTTTGCTCTCTCTTTATAGAGAGAGCTTGATTAATTAATATTATGCAAAAACTGGAAAAAAATAATTGAAAGTACATTTAACAAAAATATTTATTATTTTTTATCTTTAAACAAAACCATTGTTTCCAACTTCTTTATCCCACTGTTCCCCCTTTTATGAGATTCCAAATCTGTCCTACAAATTCAGTAGATGATAAAGCCACAAGGTTGGTTATCTGTGGTTTTATATTGTGTATGTATATTCTCAGATTGCAAAACAACTCATTTAGAAACTTGTAATATTGAGAGTAATCACCTTCTGAACTACAATAACTACTGTATCACATGAAAGAAACAACAAATATACAGGTAATGAATAGAGAATGGGGAAGTGGACTGTGTACTATAGTTATTCTATACTTTTCTGTGGCCAAAATACAGGGATTGCATCATGAATTACTGTTTCACAGAAAGTGATTACAAAATCACCTCTTGAAATTAAATCTAGTTTAGGCAAGAATTTTTTATGCCTTAGCAAACTTTCATTTTTGACGAGTGACGATTGCGCTAAACAAATTATTTAAAAAAGGACTTGTACCCTACTGATTGAGTAATATCTTTTTTGCTACTGTAATACAGTAGATTTTTTTTGTTGATCTTTTTTGTATGGGCGGCCGTTAGGGCCAAATATTCTTATTATTATTTATAGAGGCCATCGTTTTTATTATTATTATTATTAGCTCAGATGAGAAGCTCTAAAAACACTCGGCTGATTAATTCAGCACCAATTTTGAATGGTAGACGTACAGGAAATTTTATACACATAAACTGGAGGTGATTTCCGACAAACGTTCATGACCCTTTTTTAAGTTGCACCCTAGTGTGATCTCTACACTCAAAAACAAATCGGGCCTTTCACCAAGGACTGTACATTATACTGCCATTACAAAACATGTCGTATGGATGGCGTGGTGGGTTTAACCGCACCATCCAAGTGACAGTTGGTACTAAAGGAACCAAAGGCCGTGAGTTTGAATCGTGTCTTATATTCAATTGCTAATTTTTTTAAGACATTTTAATTTTGTAGAAATTATTTAATCTAATTATTTCAAAAATTCTCTTATTATGAGGAGCTCTTGAAGTACTTGGCAGATTGATTAATTAAATATTTGATCTTATTTTTATGAAGTTCGCCACCAATCACTGTACATACTGTAATGCCATCACTATAGAACACGTCGTATAGATGGTGCGGCTGGTTAACGATGTGTTCTATTGAGCCAAATGTCGTGAGTTCAAATGACGTCTTTGTATTTAATTTTAATTTTTTTTTTTCAATTTTCAGACATTCAATTTTTTTTTTTTCATTTTTAAGACATTTTAATTTTGTACAAGTGAACATTCTAATTACACTTTCTATATTATTTTAATAAATTCTATCATATTAGCACTTTCAATTTTGTTTTTGTCAAACAGCTCTCAAATATCTTAGAAAGTTAATTTATACAAAAACAATAATATTTACAGTAAATATAAACATCAAGGCACGATTCAAACTCACGACCTTCAGTTCTATACAAAACAGCATTAACCGACCATGCCATTTATACGACATGTCCTGTTAGTGGTAGTAATTAATCGTAATTGTGAACCAGGTGCCAAAAAACCCAATATAATAACTTACACCATGTGAGTGTAGAGTTTTTAAGCATACATGTTTCAATAAAGTGTCTAC